TGAATATATACTACATAGCAATCATTAATATTTGATCATGTGCTGTTTTTTGACTACTGAATTAAATAATTAATTTGAAAAATGTCTCTTTCACATTTCCTGCAATTATTAAAAACATGTATCTAATTTCGATGCGTATCCTAGTAATAAATGAGACGTATGATGGAAAATTTGTATGAATTAGCATATGAAAATGCAAAAGAGAGCAAAACGTAGTGTGTATATTTTTATGTTTCTCACAATTTAATTTAGCCACCTAATATTAGCAGAAAAAGCACAATACCGAAATGCACAGTATAAGATATTACAGAAATGTAAAAGATAAGAAAATAGTCAAAAAGAAAACACTCAAAATTACGTCAAAGGACCATTGGTTGAGGTATGAAAAATGTGTGTTAAAATGTTAATGAAGAAACTATGTAAAGAAAATATCGGCAGATATTGAATGTTATATGTACAACAAAAGAAAAGTAGTTGAACTATCAACCTTTCGACATGAACGACTGTCTATAATAAGTGTCATGGTTCTTTCATAAGTAATAAAAGAATAAGAAGAAGGTATGATAAATTATAGGAAAGGGAATATCATTCGAATACATGTTCATAAAATTGTACGAAAATTTTGTATGTATACTCGATTCTTTCGTGCCATTCGGTTCTCTCGAGTTTTCGGACCGGATCAGAAACCGAGTCTCGATTCGGTTTGATCGTCGAACTACCCGAAGATTGAAATATTTCGACACCTCCATTCTCTACCTCATCTTTATACCCTCCCAAAAAGTGATTATATTACTTGTATTTATCGAAATTCGTGAACCGTTCCAATGCATGTCTATATAGTTAGTATTACAAAATAAATTGAATTGTACCATTATTTTTACTTCTAGTGAAACGGAACGAGCGCTCGAGGCTCAAAGCGAAAGATTTCAAAATAACGTTTGCGAATATCTGCGAGGAATTCAAAGTGATGTATTAGCATATACGGAAGAGTTGAAGGAGTCTTTTACATCAATGATGAGTGAATTTGGTAATGAAAAAACCGTTTTTATTTACTTCTCTTTAATAAGAGAGAATGTGAAAATGAACTCAAAAGTAGATTTTGTTATTTAATTTTGATCCGTATTATTTGAAATCTTTTATTTAATGCTTGCATATTTATTTTGATTATTTCCGTTTCTGTTGCTGTTTTTATTAGGTATGGAAACGTTTTTTATCTATGAGAACATGCAACGAATAGGTAATCAATTATCCACGGTATTATCCGAAGAACACTTGTCTGAAACCAATAATCTAATGAACAACATAAACGAATCCGTATGTATGATTCAAATATTTTTTTACAATAGCGAACCACATAATATTTCTCATTTTCCATTATACATAAGATATATAGTGACTCTCATCAATATTCGGATATAACTTTTGTAATGTCGTACAGAGGAACTTAAATTTCTGTGGGATGTTAAAGGGCTTAGTGTACTCTATAACGTGTAAGAGAAACTTAAAAAAAAATATGCTATTCGTTGAAGTCTCGAATGAAAGAATTAAAGAACATGATTTATAACATTTGTCTGCGAAAGTCGTCGTTGATCGATGAAAACGCGTTTTGGATGAATTTTCATCTTTCTCTCTCACAGGCCGATTGAGAAAGAGAAGCTCTTCCATTAATTTCCATTATTTTCTTTCTTTCAGTCGTCTCGTCCCAAATTTAATCGTTAATTACTAATTAGACGATTAAAAAAATCCACAACCCTGATTGAAAGACGTAATTTATGAGACAACGTTCATGGATTTTAATTATTTCTTATTTATTTCAGTACTCGCACCTTCAAAATGGAGTACAGAGCATAGCAACGAACCAAGTGACAACAATGGAATTTGAGCACAAATTAATAAATGAGAAGTTTGTGGAATTAGCCGAAAGCGTCGAAGATATGATTGACAACGATATCTTAACAAACTTGATGGCTATGAGAAACTCAGTGTTTGAAAAATTGAAAGAAACCTCCGAAACAATTAACATGCTCGTAGATTCTTCATGCGAGCAGCAGCTAAAAATTTATAACGAAACATGCGAAAATGTCCTGAACGTTCAAGAAAACGTAAAGATCATTCGTGAAATGCAGAGATCCACTGAGAAGCAACAGTTGTTCTCGGAGGTACAAGAAACAATACGCCTGACATTCTTTTTACATGGTATTTTTGTTAACTGATACTCAATTAAATTAAAGATTTAATCGATTATGTATGTGCAACCCTCGGTATGAATCAATTTTATTTTATACTGTGAACATGAAATATTTTAATAGGACTCGCAAGTAATGATAGGTGACGTGAGTAGTAACCAGGCAGCGTTCATGAACGATAAAATAATCGAGATCTCCGATGCTACGAAAGCGACGTCCGAAAAATTAGAAACTCGTGTGACGGAATTTACCGCACGGAACAATAACGTTGTTGAGAAGTTGGAGCAACTGGAGAGCGACATTCACAAGTTCTTCACCCAAAATATGCAACACGAAGTACCTACAGGTATTTAACACCTGACGTTGTATTTACTACGCGTTTTTCGCAATCGCGATACCATTTTTTTTCATTATTCATATTTTCTTAGTTATTAATATTTTTTCCGACATCCATATTTTTTTAGTTATTAATATTTTTTCCAACATTCATATTTTTTTAGTTATTAATATAATTGATGATTAGTATAAGCACAAGGTGCCGTATTATATTTAACATAAAAAGGGCACGTAAAAATAAATAAATATTCATGATCAGTAATTGAGTTGGTAAAACTTTTGAATTGGTGAAGAATTAGGTCTGAATAATTATGTTTCCAGGAACAACTCCTTCGAAAAGAGAATTCTCTTATCCTCACCAGTTCACAACTACGTCTCCGCATGAACGAATTCTTCAGAGATTTCGGGAGACGAAGAAACTTGTCGAGCGACCGGAGTACGATGTAAGTTTTTGCACCTGTATGAAGTATAGAGTATATTGTACTTGGACTGTCAAACTACCATAATTTAATTTCCACACAAAAACTTGATCATTTTTTGAATGTTCTTATCTTTTACCTCCTAAACATAATAGGAAGATTCATTCATGGTCGACGACACACCATTGAGGCATCTTGCGAATTCGACGGCTGTGTCTGATATTACGCTTACTACCTCCTCACCTAACAACACGATCCTTGCTACGAGCAACGATTCATCCATATACATTTCAACGAGGGACTCAGCGAATTCCACAATAATGAATGTCACACGAACGTTGGATAGTAGTACAGTGCCCGTGAATTCGGACACGGTTTCTGGTATAGGTAAAGATTTCACGTAGGATAAACATTTTTGGGAATTTGGAAGATTTTTGCGAATCCTGAACGTTTACGACATTTTTGGGTTTTCGCATACCTCTATTGTATAAATACAGGAATCTGCTCTGAGCGTAATGAATCTTTGTATCGAACCAGATTATGAACACTGCTTTGATACTAGGATTAATAGAAAGGAGAATTGTGTACATAAGTCAGTTGCTTTTAAAGTGATGAGAATGTCAATATGTGTGCATGTATTACTTAGTGATGTAATGTATGATTTAATAAGAGTATAAAGGGTGTTCCAGGATGCACGAGTTTTCTCTAAGGGTAATTCCTGAAAAATTCTTCCTCTTTTTTCTCCAACAGTTATTAAGGAAGTTAGTGGAAGAGGAAATTTTGACTCAGAATTTCACCATCTTTCACATCCTCGGAGGAAAGTCGTGCATTCTACGAAAAGCTGTATATAGGGGTAGTAGAATTCTACTACTTTTTAAGACAATTACAGTGCCCAGAAAAGTAAGACTATTTTTAATAATTTTCTACGGAAATATAGCAAACGTAATACAGAATTTGCTTCAAGACCTTTATTGTAAATCCTTTCAAATGATTGCAACGCGAAAATGTGAAAAATGATTAATTTGAACCTTCAACTTTTATCAAATAATAGAAAAGAAATACATGTAATAAATAATAATAAGATTTAGTTCACATTAAGGTCTAGCTTCACAGACATGATGGCACCGCAACAGCACCGTAACGCAANAGATATTAAATAAACTCTTAGTGATCTCACATTACCTGCTCATTGTTAAAATATTTTTAAACAATTGAAAAATACTGTTTAAATAATGAACTCTGCTCAATAAACAGTAAATTCTTAAAACGCTTCGTATTGAGCGAAGCGCTTGTTCACGCGTCAAAGGCCGGGCATCCGGATCCGAGCCAACGCTCCCGATTTGGAACTCTCGCCAACCGAGCGCTCTAATTGGTCGGGTTTTTTGTTAATAACTCCTTAACCACGCCTCGGACAATTTTTTCGCTAAGGAAAATATTGTTTAAAATTACGTCAGGAACTTCCCATTTCAATATCTGACATTAGTTTTGGGACACCCTGTAGACTCAAAGAGTTAGAGCCGCACGATGTCAAACCATTGTTCATCGGAACGCGGACGTCGCCGAACCAGGGGTCTCATAATTTATCCCGCACGGCTCGCTTCCCCTCTTTTTCGCCCGTATTTCGATCCCCACTACTATTCTCCTCATGCGCCTTCGCTGACCATGCCTAACATACCCCCATCAAGTACCAGTCCCCACCATGGTCGCGTCGCCCCCACTTTCCGGCCGAGGGATAAATTATGAGAACCCTGGTCGAGCGCAGAGATACCAGGTTGAGGACGGGAGCCACCGAGCTTGGAGCACACGGATACAGTGCAATNTGTTTAAACAATTGAAAAATACTGTTTAAATAATGAACTCTGCTCAATAAACAGTAAATTCTTAAAACGCTTCGTATTGAGCGAAGCGCTTGTTCACGCGTCAAAGGCCGGGCATCCGGATCCGAGCCAACGCTCCCGATTTGGAACTCTCGCCAACCGAGCGCTCTAATTGGTCGGGTTTTTTTGTTAATAACTCCTTAACCACGCCTCTGACAATTTTTTCGCTAAGGAAAATATTGTTTAAAATTACGTCAGGAACTTCCCATTTCAATATCTGACATTAGTTTTGGGACACCCTGTAGACTCAAAGAGTTAGAGCCGCACGATGTCAAACCATTGTTCATCGGAACGCGGACGTCGCCGAACCAGGGGTCTCATAATTTATCCCGCACGGCTCGCTTCCCCTCTTTTTCGCCCGTATTTCGATCCCCACTACTATTCTCCTCATGCGCCTTCGCTGACCATGCCTAACATACCCCCATCAAGTACCAGTCCCCACCATGGTCGCGTCGCCCCCACTTTCCGGCCGAGGGATAAATTATGAGAACCCTGCGCCGAACTGCCTCAAAAAATTAAGAGAACGCTAGAAGAGACAAAAAAAAGAATTTTCTTATCTAGCGTCCTGCATTCATTGCCTCTACCGCACGCCATCCCTACCCTCCCCAGAACCCTTGAAAACGAAACGTTTAAAGTTTAAACAAATGGTTATAAGAAGGGAAGGACGTACCGTGGGTTGCCGAGGCTGTAAAATGCTTGGCTTAAATAACGGTTAATAGCTTTCTTGTCTAATTTTGTTCGCAAATCCACAATCCACCGAACATTATTTATATTGTTTTCGATAATGTTACAAATTTTGAGAATCATATCACAATTCTGAATTCGAGGTAATTGAGAATTGACCGCAACGATTCAGAGATTTTCTCAAGGTCACAGATCACTGTACAAGCCGGTATCTTGTGCAATCTCTTAGCATGTGATTTCGTTTTACT